TTTCTTTCTTTCTTTCTTTCTTTCTTTATTTATTTATTTATTTTCCCTTTGGGCTTTTGTTGTCTACATGCCCAAATGCTCCACCTTCCATAACATTACCTGTTGGCAAAGATCCCCTATAGATGGTGAGATATTTCCAACAAGGAGCAAAGCTGTTCTTTGCTTCTCAGGGGGCAAATCCTGAGGACAAATCTTAATTACACCACAAGCTTTTGGCAGCTCTCTGCTGTGACTGGAGATCCCTACGAATCATGTCAGCACTCATAAACAAGATGAGAAAGAGAAAACAAGTGTATGAGAAGTTTATGAGGTCTCTTCAACTACTAATTGTTTTGAATGTGTGCTGCATTTGATATCTTATATAGCTTACCTGGTTCTTTATCACATTAAAAAACACACACAGGAATACACTAGAGACTAAACCGATTACGTTCTTCACACCTAAGCAGAATCACTGAGGTATCACGCCTAGGGATCCCAGCTGGGTTTGATATCATTTGGCTGGTACTTCCCAAACTATTTTACTCTCTCTTTTGCTTGACAATTAATATTAGCACATTTGGCTCTGTTAACCCTTATGTTCTTTTGATTGTGTGTTGTTAACATTGGGGTTTAAGAGACCCTAATGCTGTATGTATGGAAATAATAGTAATTTTGCAATTAGCCTTTATTTTTCCTTTAAATTCCTTTCCTCTGACCAGGGTTATTATAGGGTTATTATATACTAAAACCAAAACAAAACAAAAATGCTATTTTAAATTAAATAAACATTAAGTAAAATAAAATTACATTTTTAAATTTCATGTAGTTTAACTTAATGTACTCAAATAACTGAATTAAAAATGCATTAACAACTATACATATTTAAAAAGAAATAGACATATTAAAAAAGCTAATAAAATGTGAAAAAACAACAAAATTACTAAAAATGTAACTGAAATGAAAATAGAGACTATAAAAATAAAAACTAATGCAAAGTATCAATAAAAACTATAATAGTATCTCAATCACTCAAAATAACAACCTCTGACTAATCACACCCAGTAGCAGATATTATTGAAGATTTAACTTTTCTGTTGTAGTAGGTTTGTAATATGACTGTTATTTTATACAGTATTTGTAGTTTGTGGTCAGTTTGACACTTTATTGGTACCAATGAGTGAATATTAGCATGTGAACAATTGTTGCATTTATTAGAGATGCATGAAATATTGACACTATTTATCTATATATGTCTATAATTTTGCACGCTTGATACAGCCTATTTTTAAATTTATCTAACGCTCATGTATTGTTTAAAAATATTTATTTAAATGTAATCTCAGTGTAATTTCCAAATGAAACAAATTACATACAGTACTTATTTTTATTATTTTTTAATACTTGTTTATAATTTTGTGATGCCATTCTAAAAAAAGTACAATTTAAAACTATTGGTATATAAGTTTTTTGTTGTGGTTGTTGTTGTTTGTTTGTTTGTTTGTTTTTAGCGCTTTGATGTTAGCACATCCCATATTTGTTCATGTGTGATAACTGAGATCTCTGAAACTGATCTTTGAAAATAAGTAATGTAACATTCCAATTTAGTTGATTCGTTTTCATAAGATTAGAAAGGGTTGGGAAGCATCAATCCAATTCTTAAATGTTAAGTATGTTTTTTGAGCAATTAAAATGGCCTTAGGGTCTCTTAGACCTCAAACAGAAAAGTTAATGCATTGCTTTTGACCAACACCAGAGCAGAGAGCCTGTTCTCACAGCAGTTCTGTCAGAATGCATTGAGTTCAGTCAGATCTACATTATCCATGTTCATGTTGGCGTAACGATGTGTGAATGTGGGTGGTCAGTGATGCACATTCATGGGGGTTTCCCTGTTAAAGCTAAACCACGGTACCACCTCCCTCTCACCCTCACGCTAGCTTTTTATAAGAGTAATGGTGTACTGTAGGAAGTCTGGTTGTGGGGTAAGTGCCTGTGTAACCACTCGCTGTTTTTGAGGTGCGTTCACAGATGGTGCTGCTGTTGTGTTGAATTAAAGCAAGCTAACAGACAGTGTGTTCATTTGGTAAATGCTGGACCTGTAATACCCCTGAATAAAAGAGTGAAAAGTCCTTAATGGCATGTTTCTTAAAGTATTGCTAAAGCATCAATGCACATGACAAAAGCACTGACAAGAATAGAAAAATAAAAGAATAATATCAGTGACTAAAAAATAAGGTGCCAATAATACATAATAATGACCCTTGATTTAAAGTGTAAACTATCAGATTTGAATTCAGCTTTAATCAGGTTGACTCAGAATTTTCAGATTCGAGTCCTTTTAAAACCTGAATGAATTAATAATAATTAATTCCCTTACAAATGAGTTAATTTCATTACATTATCATTTATTTAAAATATTTAAAAAGTAAAACATAAACCAAGGGGCTAGTTCATAAAGCTCTGATTGAACAACAATTGGTGAATAGGTAATTCTGTTAATACAGGAATAAAGTATGATAAAGCACTACTTCCTGGTGCTGCAATGTGTAAAAAAAAAAGACTGGTCAAATGTGTACTTTGGTTATTTTTAGTTTGGGATTTACTGGTCTCATGAAGCTGACATTTCTACCTCTAGTGATTTCTGCAACTTACACCTATTGTGTTTCTCCCCAGGCACAGAAATCATGGATAGAAAGAGCTTTCAGCAAGAGAGAATGTGTGCACATTATTGTAAGCACCAAAGACCCCCATAGGTGAGTAGCACCACTACTGCTGTAGTCTTTGCAAAATATGCATTTTAATCACACACATTTAAACCATATTTAGATGTAACTAAATTTGTACTATTAATGAAAGAGAAATTATTCTACATTAGTGTGGCCTTGTTTGAAGCTGTTAGAGAATCTAAAGATAGTCGCACTGAGTGACAAAGTGAACACTTGATGATAAATGATATCTTGCTTCTTTTACATACCATTTTTAAGATGTGAAGAATTTGTTAGTTACTATAATTAATCTGGCACTGAAATGTAAATCTCAAAGCCTCTCGAATACTTTTGAAATCCTCAAATAATGTCTATTTTACACTCTTAAAAATAAAGGTTCCAAACGGGGGTTTTCACAGCGATGCCATAGAAGAACCAGTTTTGGTTCCCCCAAAAACCTTTCAGTGAACAGTTCTTAAAAGAACCATTTTTTCGTAGTGTGAAGAACATTTTAACTATAACATTCCACTATAAAGAACCTTTTGTGGAATGAAAAGGTTCCATGGATGGTAAAGGTTCTTTGAGGAACCATTGATGCCAATAAAGAACCTTTATTTTAAAGAGTGTAGATCACTTGCTGACAGCTCTGACTTCTAATTTAAGGGGCATTCACTTAATTTCACAATGGTTGTGTCTTCTGTCACAGGTGCTGTTGTGGCCGTCTAATTGGTCAACATATTGGCCTGCCCCCCAGCATCTCATCCAATCAGAATGAGAAGTCAGAGCGGGTGCCAAAGAATGACAGCTTGTCAGAGAAGTGGTCCATCAGCAAGCACACCCAGCTCAGTCCCACTGACGCCTTTGGAACCATTGAGTTCCAGGGAGGTGGACACTCCAACAAAGCAATGGTACAGCTATTCAATCTCTTATTAACAACCGTTTGATTCTGATGATAACTCTATAAAAATATTACAATATTTTAACTCTGATCAAATATTCATGAACCTTTTAGAATTAAATTCCTTTTGTGAGGCATTTATTAATGTCTGTAGATCATGCAAGCTTTGAAATATTATCCATTTTACTGCCATAAAGTGATGTACGATATTTTAGAGGATGTTCAGTAAGACAAAACGTAGGGTGGGATCTGATTTTATTAATTGAGAATTTATTGGATAATAATAAGTGGATATTGCATACCAGACATTTGGCTGTTATTTAACATTACACAAGTGACATCAGTGGTTTAAAAGGAAGAGCAAGTCTGACTTTATTTTGATTGATTCCAAAGCCTGTTCCAAAGAAAAAAAAAAAGTGCTTTGATCTCAAAAACACCAAGTAAGTTTTGATTTCATGTTGACCTTAATCACATTCATAAATGACAGCTCAGTCTTGCTGGCTGTGTTATTTGCAAGTACAGCTTGAATCCTGAAAATAAAATCATGGTTTTTTTCCACAATGATAATAATAAGAAATGTTTCTTGAGCAACAAATCAGCATATTAAATAATTTCTGAACGATCATTTGACACTGAAAACTGGAGTAATGGCTGCTGCAGCAGAAAATTCAGCTTTACCATCACAGGAATAAATGACATTTTAAAATATATTAAAATAAGAAACATGTTTTAAATTGTAATAATATTTCACAATATTACTGTCACTGTGTTTTTGATTAAAAAAATGCAGCCTTGTTAAGCATAAAATACTTCTTTTAAACTCCAAACTACTGAATGATATTGCAACATCTTAGATGTGTACTCTTAAAGAATGTCTCAAGATAATTTGTTTTTATGTTTTGTCAGTATGTACGAGTGTCTTACGACACTAAGCCAGACTTACTGCTGCATCTGATGACAAAGGAGTGGCAGCTGGAGCTTCCCAAACTGCTCATCTCTGTTCATGGAGGACTTCAGAACTTCGAGCTGCAGCCCAAACTCAAGCAAGTCTTCGGCAAGGGTCTCATCAAGGCGGCCATGACTACTGGGGCCTGGATCTTCACTGGAGGAGTTAATACTGGTGTGTATTCATGTATTTTTCAGTTTAATTAAGATTCTAATTAGATCACTCGTATTAAGATGCTGAGCAAAGCTAGTGAAAGCTGATGCTATCTAAACTTCTAGAGAAGATCAAGTGTAACTGTGTGCTATCTCAATGTCCTTGATGCATTGTGTGAAACTGTATCTCTCACACTGAGAATCTGTTATCTCTTCCCTTCTGCCACCCCAGGAGTCATAAGGCATGTTGGTGATGCTCTAAAAGACCACGCTTCCAAATCGAGAGGGAAGATCTGTACTATCGGTATTGCCCCCTGGGGGATTGTGGAGAACCAGGAAGACCTAGTGGGCAAAGATGTAAGTGACTTGACTCAACCCTCTACATTACGAGTAAATCACTCGCATATGCGACTAAATCTTCACCCTCGGAGCGACTAAATGGCGTCTAATATTAGCCAATTGCTAATAAATTCTCAGATTTTACTCGCCAGTGAGTGAGTTGGAGGCTAAGTATAAGTTTAGCACAGATATATTTTCACTCGCCAAATGCTCTCTGACTGAGCGCATCAGAGTTTCACTCTCCGTCAAGCTATCTGTGCTGTTTTTCAGTTCATCTGAATGGATGTGCAACGCACCTGTATTTATCGTACCGTAAACTCTAGTGTGAAGGCGCACGACTCGCCGTCGAAACACTGAATGACCAAAAAGCACCACCACCAGTCAGTTCAGTTAAAATGACTAATATGCATTCATACATGGTTATCAAGTTTTAATTCTAATTACTAAAGTTCTATCATTAAATAATATTGATTATCATATTATAATGCTTGACTGACTGATGTTAAGAGTGTACTTTCAGATTCATAAAACTGTGCCATTTTACAAACAAACATATATATATATATATTTATCAGTCTGGCGAGTAAACTAAAAAATTTACTAGCCAATGGCGATTCAATTGCCAAGGTGTTCGTAGAGGGCTGTGACTGTTGCTATTTAATAACTAGAGCTCTTTTAGTATAGTTTGTTTTTCTAAATGACCAATAAGAACTTGTTTGGCTCAAGTCAGGGCATATTTCACAAAATGTGCTTTCGTTAAATAATGATATATTAAAATTGATATATTCATTGAATTCCTTATTTACAAGAGTGAATCTCCAGATCACAATGGAATGATTTTCATGTTGTCTCTGCATGAATTCTATAAATAATTTATATGTTAGCCACTACATACATCTACTCAGTTTCACCTCAGCTTGTCTATGTGTCTCTGGGGACTGGTGCACAACTGAGACACAGAGATAGAATCATTCTTTATTTATAACCACTGATCTCTATCCCCCCTCGTTCTTACAAGATTTTGGTTCTGTCTCTCTCGCTTCCGAGACCCCACTCACCCCCACCCCTCTCTAGTCTGGTCTGGTCTGGTGAATGTTTTAAAGACAATGTTGTGGCATTTCTATTTCTAGGTCGCTGATCAAATAAGTAAATGTGTGGCACTGAGCACATGACTCTTTGTACAGACAATCTGATACTGTAAGACATTCTCTGGGTCATTCTCAAATCATGCTGGAGAACATAACAAACTTGTAGAGTTTCAGTGCTTTTATTTATTTATCTGCATTTTAAATACAAAATAAAGCTTTTTTGTTACTAGTGATCAGTGTTGGGGAAAGTTACTTTTAAAAGTAATGCATTACAATACTGCGTTACTCCCTAAAAAAGTAACTAATTACGTTACTTAGTTACTTTTTATGGAAAGTAATGCGTTATATTACTTTTGCGTTACTTTCACGTTACTTTTTTAATATGAACAGGACTTGATTGTTTTTAATATAAGAAGTTCTATTTATAGCAAATATAAAAGCCCTTTCACACCAAAAAGTGTAATGAATAAACCTCAGGCTGAAGGAAAAGTAAATTCACGTCTGTACAGTAGAACGCAGGAAAAGAAACTCTCTTCAGCAATAAAAAAAAAAACACTGAAGCACAATTGTTAGTTTATCTAAAGTCATTTTTGCCTCTTAGTATGGTTGAACTGGATCAGCAAAGGTCAGCAGCAAAGACATTGGTTAATAAAATGGGATTAGATACATTTGTGTTATTTAACATATTTAATTATTGCAGGTTTGCGTCATATTCTGAGTTTGCATTTCACTGTTTTAATTCATTTTGATGAATACTAAATCTGTTTTTTTGTGAGTGGGATGAATTAATGCACATTCACATTTAGTCTAGAACTACAGTAACATCATGTTCACACAGCGCTCACAACTCCTCTGCACTTACAATTTCTCCCAATATGGGGACAGGAGACTTGTCAGTCAATAAATGGGAAAACAAAGTAACTGGCGTTACTTTTTTGAAAAAGTAACTCAGATATTTTCTTGTAAATTAAAAAAGTAATGCGTTACTTTACTAGTTACTTGAAAAAGTAATCTGATTACGTAACTCGCGTAACGTGTAATTCTTAATTTGTAATGCGTTACCCCCAACACTGCTAGTGATCTATGATTACTGAATGCTACTTGTGCATGTGGGCGCTTTTTGTAGCACGTCACTTTTACCTTTGTTTCATTTTTCTTGTCCTGAACATCCCTGAACAGCATCTTTTTTACTTTTATTCGGTGTGTATTGCAGGTGGTCCGGCCGTACCAGACGATGTCTAACCCTCTTAGTAAGCTAACGGTACTCAACAGCCTACACTCCCACTTCATTTTGGCTGATAATGGCACCACCGGAAAGTACGGAGCAGAAGTCAAACTGCGCAGACAGCTAGAGAAGCACATCTCTCTGCAGAAGATCAACACACGTGAGTACATTTGCGGGTAATTAGAGATGCTAATGTTAATGTGATTACTCCAAACTGCAAATTCAATGGCGCTTTTAAATTCTTTTCAAGAGAGGTTATATTAGTCTTCTGTCCTCAGTCACTATTTCTAGGTTCTGTTGTGCTGATCTTCAAAAGCCCACAGAGGAGTTTCTCTATAGATTCCAGTCAGAAATGCCCAGATCAGTTTGTGGCTCAACGTCAAAATGCTACACGAGTTGCGAGATTCAGAGTTGACTGCACTGAGAGCACAAAGCCCTCTTCAACTGCACTCCACCAGATAATATCCATACAGTCCATTTACTCGCATAAAGATATCAAATAAACGTCATTCAGCTGAAGGAACACATTCAGATTAGAGCCAGTGAAAATGCAGTAAATCATGAACACACTCAAAAACGAATGCCCCTGTTTTGTTTGTGCTCATGTGGATCATTTAGGGTCATTTAAAAGTGCATTTATACTCAGACTGCTTATGGCCTGCTCATGCATACTTTGATGAGTTGTTATAAGATTTCTCTCCTGCGCCTGTATATATGCTCGATTATAACATTATCTGTCATTTGAGAAATGCTATTATTATCAATGGCAAATGCATAGAAACATCTCTTTGAAATTAAATTGGCTTGCTTTCCATGGGCAATAATAATGCAACATTAATTATGGCAGGCTAATAGTGTTGAGTTGTGTGAATAAGGTGCAACCTTTATTGAGCCTAATTCACATTACATAGAAAGCGTAAAATAAAAACTGAAAAGAATAAAAATGAGTTAATCACAGCATGACAGTGTTTCAGCACATAAAGCAACTGCTTAAGCTGGATTGTGGCAGAAATGCAGGGATTTATTAAACCAAATTATAGTAAATATAGTGGCATGTAATCTGGATTACGTAATCAAGTAATGAAGTACTTGTAATTAGATTAAAATTACATTTTAGAATACTCAGAATCAGACTACAGTTACTTTTTTATTGATTACATGATTACAGTTTATTACATAAACACAGTAACACTTTTCCACAGCATCAAATGAGCCATTTCATAAACCTGCCACATACAGAGCAATGTCAACAGGAAGTGAGCCAGAGTTTGACTTCCCTCCCTTGTCATGTGACCTGTGGACTTCCCTTTGTCATCCTATGCCTGGAGTAATAGAGGGGGCTGGGAAGTCAAAGGGACGCTCAGGCGTCATCATTCACATCAAAAATGACACCAGCCTCACCCACGTTGATTCATTCATAGAAAGCTGCATGTAAACGGATCACTTAAAATAATCAGCATTTAAAGCGACAAGTGCCTTGACATTTAAACCTTAAATTTAAATCTACTCTTGGAGAAAGCACATCCAACCCTCTAGCATGTGGAAATTTCAGATTTCAAACATGTTTGAGCCCTGTAAACCGAACAGATGAAACATGTTTAAGCTCATTAAATCATCCCGTGACACATTCACAACACATATTCAGACTGGAGAATCAGACTACAGTTACTTTTTTATTGATTACATGATTACATATTATTCATTCAATAGCAATAAATTACTCAGAATTTATTGATTCTCCCTAATTATTCTTTTTCATCTTTTAAATGACCCTTTATGAAATTGCCTACCACTTATATATATATTCAGAAAGTCTTTCAGTTTTGTGGACATTCACACAAAGACCAGTCACTAGTTGGGTGGCTAAAATTACTGAGAGGCCCCTGGATTTACAAAAAATATTTCACTTTTAAAACGTTTTTCTTAGTATTTCAACATTACATCAATTACTGATAAACAAGGACATTTTTTATTTGAATGATCACTCAGAGAGTTATTTAATCATGTATTACTGTCTTTGCAAGGCTTTTGTCTTTCAAACACATTATAATGCACAAATTAAACTCACAAATCCCCTGCAGTTCCTTTACAAACCTTGATAATGTAATGTTGAATGCACTTCATGTTGTCGGTAACAACAGATGAAATATATTTTCTTTTTCTTTGCATTTTTATATTGATATGGTACAAGAGTATCCTATTTAAAACAATGTGACAAATGAGTTCGGTCAAAAGTAATCTAAAAGTAATCAAAAAGTAGCCTCATTATATTACCTAAAATGTGTAATGTAAAGGATTATGTTACTTACTACAATTTCTGTCATGAAATTTCGAATCAGTAACGGATAGTTTCTTTATTTTATTACCTGTCCTTTCTAACACTAGAAGAACATCAATAACACTCTGAGCCATCACCATAAGGCTCACAGAGCTACAGAGACCCTCAAACATGGAATCAAATCTCTTTGTTTTGGAAGAATTGCGGCAGGCTGCGGGCCGGCTTACATATTCACAGTCTGACAAGCACTGCTGCGATGCTGGATTAAAATGAATTACGGAGCTGTGCTTGCTGTTGTTGGGCTAATGAGGAGGGCTTTTTGAGTGTTTCGCAGATGAGGGAAAGACTAGCGTGCACAGGATGCAATGAAGATTTCCTTGCAGGATAAGATGGAATGTGAGAATCAATTCAGTTGTGCACAATTAGGTGCAGTTTGATTGGAATCAGCGGTTAATCCCCAGTTCACATGGGGAATAGAGTAAAGCGTCCGTTGTGATTTAGGATGGATGTTGAGAAATTGCAGACTACTGAACAGGGATGAATTCAGTAATAATGATTTGCGGCCACTGATGGCGTTGTTTATTGGTATAGCAACTAATTTAGCAACTGATTCACTCAAGGATTTATGCAAATATAGTATGCAATATCTGGCATATCTGGCTTTGGGCAGAGCTCATTTCTTTATTTTATTACCTGTCCTTTCTAACACTAGAAGAACATCAATAACACTCTGAGCCATCACCATAAGGCTCACAGAGCGTCCACCATAAGGCTCACAATACGCAAACCATACAACACCATTCCCCATCTTGCAGGCTGGTTCTTGCTGATTTTAATTTTAAAAGTTAAAGATAGTTGCTTTAAGAAACCCCCCTCAGAATTATTTAATAATTCTGTGAATTAGATATATTTCAAGCATCTCCATTATTCATCATAACCTGTTGACTATAATATCATCTCTTGAATTAAAAATGTATATAAAATATATAATTCATAGTGTATACATAAAATGTCAGATGCAATTCAGATGCATCTCTTTGACTGGGATTTTATTGAATTTTTGTATTTGAGTTAATATTTATTAGAATATTTATATATTCTGCAAAAATCAGGTGAGAGTTGGGATAAGTTTAGTCTGGGGGCTTCCTGCCCCAGGTTGGGGGTCATCTTATCCCTTATATTCAAAATATTACATTTTATTCTAGAAGAACTAAATTTGCAATTATTTGCCTTAAAGGGAGGGGTTATTATGCAAAATTCACTTTTGCAAGGTGTTTGGACATAAATGTGTGTTGGCAGTGTGTTTACACAACCACTCTATAATGATAAAAATCCACCCACTCCTTTTTTTTT